CAAGCGAATCCATCCTGGCAGCTCTCAGTTCCATAGACACATCAGGGCCACATCCAGGTCCTCTCCGAATTACTCCACCGTGCCTCGGAACGGCACAACAACTCAATTTCACATTCTTGTTCGGCTTCTTGCCCAAATTCAACAGATTTTCACAATTCAAACTGCGCTGCCAAGCTCAGATCCAAGCGCTTCATTTGATGTCCATCACGCATGCGCCGTGCCAAAAGGGAAATCCCCTGGCACGCTCTGCAACAAAAAGAAGTTATGAACAAAAAAATTCGCGTTCACTCGGGGCCGTGATTTCCGTGTTCATCTTGTCGCCGCGCAATGAATTCTTATCCTATCGCGAAGAACTTTATACCCCCGGAAAGATGAGGTGAAGATCTTTCCAACGGTGTATTGATTGTCGCGATGCGTTTATGTGTGACGAAGTTACGAAAGTTTGTACACTGGTCTATGCACTGCGATACAGCGCGCGTTCACTCTGGGCCGTGATTTCCGTGTTCATCTTGTCGCCGCTCAATGAATTCTTATCCTATCGCAAAGAACTTTATACCCCCGGAAGGATGAGGTGAAGATCTTTTCAACGGTGTATTGATTGTTGCGATGCGTTTATGTTTGACGAAGTTACGAAAGTTTGTACACTGGTCTATGCACTGCGATACAGCGCGCGTTTACTCTGGGCCGTGATTTCCGTGTCCATCTTCTCGCCGCTCAATGAATTCTTATCCTATCGCGAAGAACTTTATATCCCCGGAAAGATGAGGTGAAGATCTTTCCAACGGTGTATTGATTGTCGCGATGCGTTTATGTTTGAAGTTACGAAAGTTTGTACACTGGTCTATGCACTGCGATACAGCGCGCGAACTTTTTGCGAGTTAAATCGTACGTAGTGGATCAGGTCATGCATAAAGTGCGAGTTAACTCGTACTCAGCACGCAAAGGGTGTCAGGACGTCGAATGTCGCAGTACTCTGTCAGTTTTGTGCCTAGTTGTTGCACTTTCTGACTGTATATAGTATCTAGTTACAGTGGTGGAGAGTTACACTTAACTCGTTTCCACATGTCCTTTTCCTTTCTACTTTTATTATTGGCTCAATACCCGAGTTTCAAATTATAATTATATTAAGGTAGCAGACCGGTCGTAAATTTCATATGGCATTCAATTGACCGTAACTTTTGTGTCTCTCAATGGATTTGAGTGAACGTTTCACCACACACTCCTGCCACTATGCTGGTCCTCTGGACATAATTTAAAGGTTATTTTGTCTCACTGACAGGCTTTCCAGGCCGGGAAAACTCAAAATTCCGGGCTAGTGCCACGGTGTGCGAGCCACCCCGGAGCCAAAAAATGAATTGACAATTTTTTTCACATTTTCTTGCCCATTCTGTCAGTGCGCGGGATCCAAACCTAAAAAGAGTCCAGGAGCAGCCATGGGTGGTGGAATAGAGCCCCTCAACGAGGCCCTGGAATCTGTCACAATGGCAGGAGTAGACGTTCTCTCACAGACTCCCACAGACCAAAGTCAAGTTTTGAATTTTTTTAGGTTAAGCACGTGCTACAAGGTCGTACCTTTGAAACAACATCCAGTCCTAGGACCTCCACAGCAAGCCATTTTCACAGCGCTGCACACCAAATCCAAGATACCGTGAAAAATCGGCAAAGACTTTCACTCACGTTCCACTACTGCCTAGTACTGAATTCTACCTGACTTCTTGACACGACTCAAACTTGCCAAAGTCACTAAATCAACGTCAACTTCAATAATCAATCCACATATCTGCAATGTCACGAGCTGCCGTGCAACCCAATACATGGCTAAAAAAACGTGATGTTTTGGACACTTTCGCGTTTTTCCATGATACGACAAGTTGCACATGTCTGCTCACATTCAAATACAGTGCGGCCAAACGATGACAGCGTGCAACAAAAAGATCTTTCCTTTGCAAGGGCACATTTTCGGCTAAAACTCTTGTACGGCTGGTCCGATCAAGACAACATTTTCGGAGATTTTGCAGCTATTCATGCTCTTGCAACTGATGTAGCACTCGATATGAATTTACAAATCCGATTTTTCAGGGAGTTTATGACCAGTCTGCCCCAAGATGACAGCGTGCAACAAAAAGATCTTTCCTTTGCAAGGGCACATTTTCGGCTAAAACTCTTGTACGGCTGGTCAGATCAAGACAACATTTTCGGAGATTTTGCAGCTATTCATGCTCTTGCAACTGATGTAGCACTCGATATGAATTTACAAATCCGATTTTTCAGGGAGTTTATGACCAGTCTGCCCCTTAAGGAGGCTCCAACCCTTTGGGGGTGATTTTGTTTCTTCATAAACCCCCTCCTTTTTGTAGATGAGTGTGCTCTGTATCATCCCATGTTGCTCGTAAAAAATATGCAGGGGGTGTTTCCGCGGAGATAAGGCTGTTTGAGGTGTATTTCTAGGGGTGGGTGTATTTATCGAGTTCGGCCCAAAATTGCTTGTTTTGGGGTCATATTTCAGATTTACCAGTTGTCTGGCTTCTCTTTGTGATTGCAAGTCCTTTCACACATCACAGTGAAGCATTGCAGCAAGAAAATCTGGCAATCTGCATTGACTACTCAGAAAAATAGTAATTTTGGTACAAAAATGAACTTCGCAGAAATGCCCGTCCGCAAAGTACAATTGGGTGCACAGCTTCATAATTTCTACATGGACATGCCCTTTTTATTTTATTTTGGGATCCTCATACTTCATAGAAACTAGAAATATATAATTTTAGGGGGGTTACCGGGCATTTTAGACCTCCAAAATTGGCCGATTTTCCACCATTCTTGGAATTGCTATTTTTCAGGTAAGGTGATCATTCCATGCATTCCTTGTGATATTACTCCAATTTTTTTGTGTCAAAAGCATTGAATGGTCCCCCAGATTGTTATAAGATACATGAAGACTAGATGAGGCCATGTTTCCTGGGCTTTTTAGCCTTTGATCTGGATATCGGCATGATCCATGCACAACGTTATTCATGATCCAGGCCGAGGCCTACTGACCCTGAACGCAGTTCAGACCAGCTTTGCATCCCAACTCTTGCAATAGTTCACTCCTAGTATTTCTCATAAAGCAGCAGGCAAAGAGCTTGAGGAGGATAACAATTATTATATTCTGGGCCGATAACTTCACAGTTTGTAGTACATGTACTGAAGTAGTGATGTAAAATGTAGATGTTGGTTTAACTGAATATTGGCAATGAACGACTGTTAGTAATTGTAGCACCAATTAGGTATAATCATAACATTATTCCCAATAACATGGAACAACCACAAGTGTATGTGGGTGCATGCGCATTGTCCACATTGATACATACATGTACGCTTACATGCACATACTCACACTCACAGGCAAGTACCGTGCACACACAAATACATGTATGTCATATACGCGCACCCGCAATAGCATACACCCACATGTAAAATGCATGCTCTTGAGCTTAGTTACCATATTCTGTTGTCCATGCACTTGTGCACGCGTGCGCACGCACACATACACAACATGTACTGCACGCGCGCACATAAACACACACACACAGCATGTAGGCTCACACGCGGTGCCTGCGTATGTGCATGCACATGGTGCTTATGGTTACAGGTGCATGCATTCATCATAATAGGACTGGTGCGAGTGGTGTAGGAATATTTTCAAATCACTGGTGCTGTACAACACGACATTTACAAAATGCTTCACACTACTCTGAGAATAGAGAATAGTACTGCAAAACAACATACTCAATTTTCAGTGCTGCATTTTATGCACATTATATTATTCAAGTGGACGCAGGTACTAGGTGATGACTTACTGCTGGCGACGTTGGCAGCTGACAGGTTACAGCTTTCGTAAATAGCCCAAGTCACTGAGCAGTAGCTCACCAACGATTTACCTCAGACCTCAGACCTGCCCATCGCGGAAGCGATGATAGCGAACAGCTATGTTAGACATAGCAACTTGTGCTGGGATTACACCATTCAACAGCTTGCAAGGCTGATGAATTGACCGCTACTATTTTTAGCCTGGTATCCACCACACAGCTGATTTACCACTCACTCAAGACTGCAATGTTTTCAGCGTAGCAATATATTTCGCCACTTGAGAATTAGAAGTGGATCCACTTACCAGAGTCTGTGCACCCACTTCAGTCTCTCTCTCCAAAACGCGCTTACAGTGGGTTTTGGTCCCTGGTGTTACACAGCCATCGAGACGCTTTGCTCCGTTCTCCTTGGTCATTTTTTCGTCAAGCAAAATTATTCAAGATCTCGAGAAATCGAGCTGTGAAGACAACTTCTTGCTCACACCAGCGATGGTTTTGAAAACATGCCCTGATACCCACTGACACAACAGGAACCTCGATGGTGCCCAGGGAAGACTACAGGTGAAGAATGAGGCAATATTCTCTGATTTGACTGTCGATCGCGGAGTTCAAATTTTAGTAAGTTGAAATGGGAATTTCCCAACTTTTCGCACTTATCGGCAAAAACAAGACTTTTGCCTGCAAAAAACAGAGCGCCAGACCGGCTGCGCAGCGCAGAAGGTTGGAGCCTCCTTAAGGCAGAAGGAATGAATAGACCGACCAGAACATCGTTTGAGTTTGGCTACACAGTGTAGCAGTGGGTCGACGCATTATAATGGGGGCTAGCATTCAGAAAATCATCAGAGTCGTTAGATATTTCTCCGCTTGAGGTTACATTTTGATCATCGTATGTGAAATCGTAATGTGAGTTTTTGGAACAGCCGCTGTGCCGTGAGATAACGTTAGATAAGTGCGCCCAAGACCGAAGGAGCAAAAAGACTGCCCAAAACCAACAGAACAGCGATTGAGGGTTTGGATGTGGACTTGGTCTCATCCTAACTAATCTTTTTCCTCTTCGATGATTCGTATTGGTGAATCACAACTATACGATACGTATTTTAAGTCGAGCTATCTCGTACTATTTATTTCTTAATTATTCCCTTCTCCCAGAAATAAAATGCCAGGCACCAGCAATCCAGAATGGCCGACTGATGGGAACGCCACCAATGTTCCAAACGGCTTGCTTTGATGGTTTCACGCGGGTTGGACCAGCCGTGGTCTATTGTTCAAACACCACAAATACAACCCAACTTCCGAAGTGCACATGTGAGTTCTGAAAACTATAATTTTCATGTTTGGCTCAGAAAGAATAGGATACACCTTTTAAGGGCTTATCTGCCACCCAACATCGTCCAAAAGCGATGATGAAGTAATTGTGACGGAGGTAGTTCCAATGACTTATCCAAGAAGAAGAACACTACGATTCAAAATATCCCCTTGGTGATGCACTGTGATTTTTACATGTTGGGTTAGCTTTTGGGCTAACCCTAGTTAGCGATAAGACCGATGTGCTGCTCTCTATCTCATGCTAGCTGCGAATGTGGAAGGCCCCTCTCGTACCCTGACTTTCCTGGGCATTATCCTGGATTGTGAGAAGATGGAAGCCCGGCTTCCTGACGACAAATTGGCTGACATCAAGCGCCTGTTGACTGCAGCGAGCATCAACCCCACCATGTCTCAGCGCGAACTCGAATCTCTTCTGGGAAAACTCTCCTTCACTGCAAGAGTCATCGTACCCGGCCGGACATTTATGCGGCGCCTGTGGTCTATTCGCAGTAGCTACCAGCAGCCTCACTACCGCATCAGTCTGACTACCGAGTGCCAGGAAGATATCCAATGGTGGCTACGGCTCCTGGAACAATGGAACGGAAAATCATTCTTCCTGTTCCCAGATTGGACACCAGCTCCAGACTTGGAGCTGTTCACTGATGCCAGTGGCACCCTGGGCTGGGGCGCATTCAACAGCGGCCGCTGGCTTCAAGGGACCTGGTCGCCTGAGCAACTCGCTCACAACATTGAGTGGAAGGAGCTCTACGCGTTGGTCACAGCGTGCTGCACGTGGGGCAAGGACTGGTGCCAGCTTCGTATCACAATGCACTGTGACAACAAGGCTGTGGTAGATTGCATCCGCTCCGGCACATGCAAGTCACCGCCAGTGATGACCCTGATCAGGGAGCTGTTCTTTGTGTGCCCCCGCTTCAATTTCACCGTCACTGCTGCTCACATTGCTGGCCAGTCTAACTGCATTGCCGATTCGCTGTCTCGTTTCCGCATGGAGGAATTCCGACGTCTCGCCCCAGCTGCTCAAGCACAACCAGACCGAGCAGTGCTGCCATTCCAGTCGATGTAATATAGCCTTGACATACAGGTACCGATTGTCATTGCTAAATTGCCGTATTGAGAACCTGCGTTGGATTTCATCCATCTGCATGCCTACCTTTATCCATCTCGTGCCTTAATCACTTGTTCTTAGCTCTCGTGCATTGGTGGTGAACGCTTGCTGGGGTGCCGTGTGCTGGTTTTCTGGGAACAGCTTCCTTCAACTGGTTGCTTTGCTGCTACTATCTCTGCTTAAAATTGCATACTATTGGTCGGCTGTTTGCGACGCCAATCAGTAGTCATTGCACCCAGTCGCGGGTACTATTGCCGCTCAAGCATGAGCGATTGCTTTGGCCGTTTGCAACGCCAACTGCTTCACCCTGGTTGGCTGTTTGCAACGTCGATCAGGGAACTTTGCACCCGGTCGCGGGTACTGCTGCAGCTCAGTCGTGAGCGATCACTTTGGCTGTTTACAACGCCAATCGCTTCACCAGTTGATCGAAACCAGCACACTGGTGTAACCCAATCATCCTTGTGCGGTGTTGTGAGAATACGTGGGTATGCATGCAGCTTTGCTCTGTGACTTTCCATTGCATGTAGTCACTTGGCTCTCCCATTTCCTATACAGTGCTCTGATGCATTCGGGTGCAAGCGCTAAATGTTGGGTTAGCTTTTGGGCTAACCCTAGTTAGCGATAAGACCGATGCGCTGCTCTCTATCTCATGCTAGCTGCGACTGAGCTGGCTTTACACGTGCACTCAACTGCTGCGCATGCGCGCCCAAATCGCCTTGGGTAGCTCTTGCTGCGCTGACTTTGGCTTGCGCTTACCTTTGCAGTGTCACTGAGCAGCAACCGGAATTTGTTTGCTACTCACCCTCCTATTCCCACATTATATAGGTGGGAACAGCTTCCTTCAACTGGTGGCTTCTCTGCTACTATCTCTGCTTAAAATTGCATACTATTGGTCGGCTGTTTGCGACGCCAATCAGTAGTCATTGCACCCAATCGCGGGTACTATTGCCGCTCAAGCATGAGCGATTGCTTTGGCCGTTTGCAACGCCAACTGCTTCACCCTGGTTGGCTGTTTGCAACGTCGATCAGGGAACTTTGCACCCGGTCGCGGGTACTGCTGCAGCTCAGTCGTGAGCGATCACTTTGGCTGTTTGCAACGCCAATCGCTTCACCAGTTGATCGAAACCAGCACACTGGTGTTACCCAATCATCATTGTGCGGTGTTGTGAGAATACGTGGGTATGCATGCAGCTTTGCTCTGTGACTTTCCATTGCATGTAGTCACTTGGCTCTCCCATTTCCTATACACTGCTCTGATGCATTCCGGTGCAAGCGCTAATATAATTTAACCTGGAAATCATAAACAAGTTTCAAGTTTTATTCTGGGGCCCTGGCTTCGTATTATACACCCTAAATCTGATATACCCAGTCCAAGAACAATTTTCGAGAGTTGGTAAGCATATTTGTATGTGGATCATTTTCCGCCAATCTGTATCAAACATCTGCTTCCTATCCTTTCTACCTACCTAACTTTAACAACTATACACATGTACACCTACAGTAAGACACACATACTCACGCAAATGCATCAATGCAAAAACTAAGAGGTCGCCTTGAATCTATTATTATTCCGCCAGCAATCCAGTCTGTCAATACCTTCAAAGAACTCAGGCTAAGCAGCCTGAGCAAGCCTGTGTTTGTGAAGTGTTTAGGGTTAGCTTCACACCTGGTAGTCTTATTAGAATAATGTTTTACCTCAGCTATGAGCGTTTCTCCATTTGATCACAGAAATAGACTCCGCCTGTTGGTCTCTCACATACAGATGCAAAACGTACACAGAAGGGATGAAAAACGTAACATTTAGTTTGGAATTTTAAACTGCTTTTAGCAAATATTGCTCACCCATTACAAGTTCTTCCCTATACAGTATAGTGCACAGCTATTATCACGAACTTTTCTGTTTGTGCCTGCAGCATATTCCGGAACGTGTGCTGTTTCGACTCTTGATAATGGGTACACAAAAGAGGGGGGTGACGGGTTGGCAGGTCGAGAGCTTTTCTGCAATCCTGGATATCGACTTCATACTTCGGCCAACTACACTTGTGTTTCCCAAACGACTTCGAAAAGAATTGTTTCGTGTAAAAGTAAGTTCTAACTGCAAGCAATGTGCATTCTTACGGTGTTAAAGTGTTGTTTGCATAGATAGTTGGCACAAGACACCATAACATAATATCTCAAGTATCTACTGGGTGATCTAGGTTGGCATTGCCCTACATCAAAACTTACACTGGTGGACCCAAGTTAGCTATTTTATTCCTCTGTTCTACTTTCAACAAGCTCTACTGCTCTGTGTCAACAACTGTTTAGTGAATATGTATCTAATTATGACTGAGTACGAGGTCAATAGCAAATAAAAGCCGAGTAAAAGACCTCGGATTAGGCTCGGTCTTTTACGGCGACACGATAATTTCCTTTTTTTTCTTCCAAAAATGACCAAGTACGAAGTCAATTTTAGATTTATCACGAGAAACAAGCCGACAACTAAAATTCCAGAACAATAAACCCATGAATCCCGATTTTATGATTGCACAACCGTTGCACCATCACCTACTCATTATAGTGACCATGCTGCGCAACTGCGCAACCCATAAGCAGGAAATGGGCGCGTTCGATTACACACAAATCGGTTAATTCTGGATTAAGTTATTGTTGATGCACAGTTCGACACAAATTCCGTCTTTAGAATTGTTTTTATCCAATTCCATCATCTTTTTTAAATATCACTGAACATGATATGAGGCGGCAGGTCACTCAAATCCATTCTGTTCCTGATGCCTCGTCGCGTCCCTGGTGGTAACAGTTTGGCATGGAAGTGTGGGATTTCGCTGTTGTCTGATTTTCTCACACATTCTGTGATTAACCCCATAGTGCATTGACGCATGGGCCTCCGTGCTCCCCTCCTGTAATGTGCTAGAATTTACACCATAATTATTTGGCATGTACCGTCACTTCGCAGAGCACAATTACGCAGTCTTCTTCTCCGTCATGTGCACAGTTGCACCGTCTCCCCCCCCCCTCTGCATAGAGGTGACATAACTCGCATCATTTGTTTGGCGCTACATTCGGCGTAACGCCATGGCACGCGCCCTCACGTCACAGAGCACAATGCACGCTACCTTCTGCTGCTTCTTCTCCGTGATGTGCTACTTGCACCTTCTCTCTCTTCCTCTGCCCCCCCCCCCTTCTGCATACTAGGTGACATAATTCGCATCTTTTTTGGCGCTACACTCTGCGTATATATACTGCTCTTGTGTGGCTTCCTCGGTATTCATTGTTATTACCTGACGATGGCCAAGTGCCGAAACGTTGCAAAAATAACGGAACTGGTTCGGTGTGATGTGCAGCGCTATGGAAATGGGTCTGTCCACCCGAATTCTTTTCACAGAGGAAGCTGCAGGAAGCCTCAGCCCTACTTCAAATTAATTCCATCAGTTCCGCGAATTACTAAGAGGGCATGTCTGAGAAAACCAGAAAAGCTGGGCCAGGCCATCTCTCCGATTTCGATCAAATTTTGCTGGTAGGTTTCCTTTGGGGTCAACAACAACCATGCAAAATGGCTCGTTGCATAACTTACGGACACCTTGGAACTGGGACCACCGCAAAATGAACCCAAAATACGACTGAATATTGGGTCCCAAAACGAGTGCTGGCTCAGCGTACACGATTAAGCGGACGCTGGGATGAGGTGATGCCCTCATCGCCGTCTTTGCCGTTGCCTCCC